AAATTGGTGTTGTTTGTTCAAATATGACACGCGTTCGTGTTGACAATGCTTTACTACAATGAAACAAACAGGCTAGTCTTACATTGATCCGGTGAAAGTATTTTAAATATACTTTGAATTTGTTGCCTTGAGTCATTCCCGGTGTAAGACAAAACGTTAGTATGTACGCCCTTTCCGTGGCGTCATTAAATTGAACGTTTGTATTGGCCTAGCGCCTCATAATATCCATAGAGCGTGCTCGTGGCCCTGTCTGGTCGCAACCCTAATACATAGATTCACCATGGCCCGAGCAAGGGGTTGTACCATGGAGCTAAAATATTTTGTTAGCTCCATGGTTGTACTAACAACGTGATTTGCAGACACTCACAACACATTACGTACATTCCCTGTAAGAAACTAAAAAAGAGCTCTATATGTATGTACTTTGCCGTGGGCGAAAAAGATCATTAGTAAAGCAAAGTTTCATTTTGGTTTTAAGGCCACACCACAGCCTCGTTTGTTCGTCTTTTTTTCAATATCAATTAAAGATAAAAAGTGAAGGGTTTTATGGCGTTTAATATAGTAACCAGACTAAATGAGAAAATGCGATTTGATCACAAATAGAACTACTTCAGTATGTCTCGCCATGTGTTTAACGGATTTCGCCAGGACAGTTGTTCATGATAATCGCTGTTACTTCACATTTTATGCAGTTAAGGAATCTTGGTGAGACTTAACTGCTTCAAAAGCTCGCTCTCCGCCTCATCCTCCAGAAAAAAATGCCTGTCACGCAAATATGGGATTTACACCACGGTATCTCCCGAGAGAGACATGCAGCTCAAACTATAAATCCAAGCAAACTTAGAAGTCTAGAACTCACCTTAACTTTCGTGCGTATCTTCTGCCTGATTCGGGAGTCCTTTGGATTGTATCACCTGATTGTACGTATTTATTTGATTGTACAGTCACGCTTGTGTTAGTTACTATACGGACACGGGGGACAACAGTCGGTTTCACAAGATAGCCGGACTTCGTGTTATAACGGGTGATACAGCCTAAGTGTTATTGTTAAAACATCTCGCGTTACCTGAAAGTTATTTAGTATCGATCGTAATTATTATCCACTGTATAGTGTGTGTATATCAGGAAAATCTGAACTGTTTGTTTGAATAGGTGTGGCACCCACCGGTAAGACCATGCATGTCATGTGAGGTTATTTTCTTTCGCCGCTTTGACGGTTAATGCTGGGTGTGGCAACATGGCGTCACTGACATTGATTCTGTGACTCATAATTCATTTGCATATATCGAATTTGCATATATCGTCACGCGTATTTCGCACATGCTGACTCATTGCGAACATCTATTATTTCAATGAAATAAATTATTTTAATACTTCTGCGTAAATGAGATTGTTTAGTTTCTATTTATTTAGGCACTGGCGATTTATACTATATCTGTTAAAGCATGGACCTCCAAGGTTGACCTGGAATTCACGTTTCAATTAAAAAGGATAGCGTTCCCGTACAGTTTCATTCCACAAACTATTTATGCTTTATTAAAGTGATTATAACAATGGTTTGGGGTTACAATTGCAGCAACCGTGCCAAGGCCTTGATGCTTGCTGTGGACAATAGAACGTGTTTTATGTCTGAGAGGTCAATTGTAGCTCGCTATGAAACATTGCTGTCGGCATTGTATACATCCATTGACCAGTTGCCACGGTTACATTCACCTTCACCGTGTCCTTGCATATACTATTTATAAGCAATACAACGTTCATGGTGGCAATGCATAGTATATGTCAGTGTATACTTGGCCCTGATCCATTGATGACGTATAACAGTCTCACAAGTTGTAAATTGTGAAGTTCGTGCCTTGTTCAACCTCACCGCGTAAACATGAATGAAGGGCTATTATTATACAGTTCTTCAATGATTCAATATATTAATATTAACAGCATTTGTTTCAGTCTTTAAACAATCTTTATTTTGTTTTGTTTTGTTTTGTTTTGGTTGTCATTGGTTACTATCGTAACCATAACATATATATACATATACAGAAGGTTTGGTCTAAATGGGTAGATTCGCGCTGTCTATAAATAGACCATGGAAGTAGACATGACTAGTGCGCATGTGCAAATTTCAGTTTGGTCTACGCCGTCTCTCTAAAATATTACACCATATATGCGGCCTTATATTGTCATTTTAACAAATTTGTACCTTAATTTTATATCATAGTCCGTAACAATAAGTACATTTTGTCATATATAATACGTCTGTACGTTTGTGAATACGATTTTTAAAGAAGCGATGCTGATTTATTCGAAATTATGTTCATCTCGCATGTCTTGCCAAAAAAATGTTTTACATTGAAAAAAATAATACTCTAGCGAGTTTATGTCGTAACGTTTGTGGCTACTTCATATTCTATATCTATTTACTCGCAAAAATAGTGAAAATGTGTTTCACCTTAGTCACGAGACGATGAAATTACGGTAATTCAGAGCTTCATATTGCAAACATAATTGTTGTTATCGTGACGCCCATATAGTATCCTAGTATTATCCCATATCTTTGATTTTAAGGCTATATTTCCGCAATAGTCGTCATTGGCGATATTTACCATGTCGTGATCGGCATGATACTTAGACGTACAAGGAACTAGAGCCGTGACTCGTGAAACTAGAGTGGTCGTATATTTCCTTCTCGGAAAGGTTGCTTGTTTAGAGGGGTGAGTGAATAGGATGAACGGTTAGATTAATCGTAGAGATATAAACAAACTATTTATACCTCCATGGATTAATCAAGAAGAAAAACGTGGAAGAGTGGGTTTGATTGAACGGCCGCGGGTGGGAGGGTGCCGGGTGCGTGACTAAAAGATTGAATGACTAACCGAATCAATGAGTTGAGTAGGTTTTAATGACATTATAACTAGTAGCTTCGCGATGAGTGGCTTTCGCGGTAGGTGGCAGAAACTTGTTGAGAATGTTTTAAAACTGACGGTTTAGCAATATTTGGGATTGTCATCTTGCCCGTGGCAGTTACAGGTTTTTTCGTGTTTTTTTGTTTTTTACATTTTCATGTATACATAGTATACATAGTATAGTATCTTTTGCTTACTGGGTTGACTACACTGTGCAGTTTCCAGTCCTTGTATACTGCGTTCTCCAGGATGAATATCTGATTATTCGGAAACATAAAATCATAATGTGAATTTAATGCTGTAAGGTGACGCCATCTTCAGGTCCTATCTGCTATTGAGAGTTCCATGTTGACGGTGGATGGACGTTTCGGCTCAGGATGTTTCGGCCAATGATCTTAGCCACAGAGTGACTATGTATTTAATGCAAACAACTGAATGCCGATATCACGCAATAGACTATGTGTTATAGTAAATATTTCTGTAAATATTTCCGATAATAATAAGAGGTTATTACAAGGATACCTCAAAGTATGCACAAAGACAATACAGCGGGAGTATCGACCGACGCGCAATGAAAATTTAAAACCAAGTATATATATATACAATTAAAAAAACAATGGATATCTAAATGCCGATGTAAAATGGCATGTCACTCAATGTGTTTCTTCCACTGGCCAACAAATCATTTTTTTCCACTCCAGAATAAACCGAATATCTTCAAACACACCTATAATGCCAACACTTATTTTTATGAAATAACTGATGTCAAAACATATAACGCTAGATGTAAATTTCACAATGAAAGAAATCATTATGTCCTATTATGCCCATTACGTATATTAACAATACATGTGGCAACACGTTGCTTGATCTGATTGGGATATATTTCTGTATGGCTTTACTTATGTCGACAACATTACTTGTAACGCTAATTTCAAATACTGAAGATCGTTTATTTTACAGAAGAAAGCCACAGGCCGAAACGTCCGCGCATGTCGAAACGCTTGACCGAAACGTCCGGGCCGAAACGACCGGCATTCAGTTCCATGTTGAATATGTCCCGGACCGTGTACTTATCAGTGTCTGACTGGTATATACGAAATGCGACCAAAAAAACGTCAGAGAGCTACAGAATCAAATCAATCTGTCGCCGTCCACACCAGTGGTATGATTTTACACGTAGAAATTGAGAATCACAATTGCATAGAAATGAACACTAAATACAGCTATCCCGGCCAGAATAAGAGTCACCAGTCTTCATTAATGATGTAACTGGTATTTCCATATATTTGCTTAGTGGTCTGAGAGTGAATATTGTCAAGTTCGAGTGTGTCTTTACATACGTCAACGTGAAAATCATTATTGACACAATCAAAGACTGAATAGGAAGTCCATATTGGGCTACTGCTACTGTCAAATTTTGGGGAGTAGAGGCTTATTTATACAGAAGATGTTCTAGTAGGAAACCATTAAAATTGTTCGATTGGTATATCAAAATCCTATATTGGAACAGAGCATGTTCTATATCCACCAAAATAACAACGTTCCTATGTTTCTAGGCATACAAAGAAGTCGTCCAATTGTCTTTGAAAATCGAGTCTTATCGCTCTTGTACTTTCGTGCGAAAAAAGGTCGAGGCCAAAAACCGCTTTTCTTTCCAGCGGTTAGATAGACTACATGTATTTTTATTTAGAGTCGCCCGGGAAACCAAAATTTGCGATGCGAATCACTCCGGCGAAAAAAATCGGTGATAATAACCAAGGAGGTCAGAGACTATTTCACTCTGGTGCTAGTTTTCGGGTCCATATAAAATTCATGCTAGTGAAATATGTTGTAATTTTTGTTACCTACAATGTATCTATTTATTTCTTTTGTTAAAACATCCTTAGGCAGAAAATGGGAAACTTTCTTGGGGGAGATAAATAAATGTCTCGTAAATGTAAAGTTACAGCGAAAATAAATGCAGTTTGAAAATTGGATAGCGACACCGTTTTTTGTATTACTAGTATTTGATTTAAAGATTCCCGGGAACAAGTGCTGCAAATCACTCCTGTGTGGCAATATAGGTCCAAAACAAATTTGAGGGACTCTGAAAACGTAACTTACTGCACGCGAATTCTACGACGAACTTTTCAACGTTATTGTTATCTCTGTGCAACTGCAGTCTTTGAAACAAAATTGAGGGACGCAATTAATATCACAACAAAAACGCAATATAATACAATATCACAACGAACGTTTCAAATGTTCGCCCGATCTTCCATGTTTATTTGGTGATATTAATGATTCACCCCAGCATACGAGGCGCGGAATGTAAATTTATTATTTTTTGTATACTAGAAGAAAACGTACTAATAACCTACCACTCATATAAAAACAGTCGATCGATTGTTTCTACCGATATCATGCTTTAGTTGTGTGAAGTTTCGAAATACAATTTTGAAAATCGTGTTATTTTCGGACAATTTCGGTGTCATGGTGTGAACGCTTTCCTACATTGTGTTATCATATGAGTAGTAGGCGAATGTACCGGCGACTGATTAACTATGCCGACCCTACTTTAGGTCATCCAAGAAACGTTCCGAGCGCCTGTGAGACCAGTATGAGTACTTTGTTCTGCCCCATTGTACCAGACGCCCACGCATTGTCTTCAGCAACCAACCACACGAATAAATCACCAGGTCTCTGAGGTATACACAGTGTCGGTAAATTTATAGGGCAAAATGAATAAAACGTTCGTGCTGGACAAGTTCCTTTTTATTTCCTTATTGACGTTATAGAAATTTTATTTTCCTTATTGACGTTATAGAAATTCACAAACGAAAATGGCTACCACTTGAGAGGACGCCTCCACAGGCGTGAATATGTTAGTTAATGCACGCGATTT